ATGAGGCAGTGGTACACGGCCCTGTCCGGCTCTATCCCGCCTTCTTTCATATCCTCGAAACATTTCAGAGCCTTTTCAGGGAGGGACGCACGGGACCACCCGTGTATGAGCGTCGTGTACGTTTTCAAGTTTGCCTTCACCCCAACCGCTTCCATCTCCTCAATGCTTTTTGTTGCTCGCTGCAAACTTAAATAAGTAAATAATATACGAAAGGTATCGTATCATCAATCCAATTGACGACACGACACGTACCATCATGTCTCCAGCTTTGCAACAAGCATTTATGAAAGAAGTGTATGTATGGATGTCTGGTTGTACTCCTTCTTGTCTCATTTGCTGCATCAGATCTGCAGCCTCCCAAACATCACCACGACGAGCCCATCTGCATCCAACCACAAAAATAAAATAAAAACCAAGCCAAAAGTATGCACAACAATTCAACTGTAAAACCCCTCCATCCATACCCATCAATTAATATGTTGTAGATAAAAGTATTCCTCGGGATATTTTGAGCTTTCATCTCTTTCGTCACTGCTAATGCACTTTGCATTCTGCCAGATTTACAGCAAGCCTTGAGTAAGGCCTCATAAGTAAAAACATCAAGCTCCAGGCCCTCCTTTTTAAATTTAGAAAAGTATTCGAAAGCTTTCCCAGTGTCTCCCAATGACGCATAACCATTCATAATGGTCGTGTATGAGTGCTGATTCGGACTGATGCCAGCAACAACCATCTCATCTAGTATAGCCTCAGCCTTTTCCATCTATGCAATATAACAAACATGTTAAAATGTTACCCCACAAAACCAAATGTTTTACCAGAATCATGGATCCATGTGCATGTTGCTATGTGGACCCTACTCCAACAACAACAACATCCCGTTTAATCCCACTAAGTGGGGTCGGTTATATGGATCACATATTGCTATCGTGCTCGATCAAAACACATATTCTCATCAAATTTAAATAATTTAAATCATTTTTTATTGTTTCCTACCAAGTTTTCCTAGGTCTACCCCTCCCCCTTTTAATTTGCGTTCTTAATTCTAATGTTTCTACCCTTCTCACTGGGGCATCGAACTCTCTCCTACGCACATGCCCAAATCATCTTACTCGTGATTCTCTCATTTTCTCTTTTATGGCGCTACCCCAACTTTATTTCTAATAATTTCATTTTTAATCCTATCTAACCTAGTATGCCCACACATCCATCTCAACATTCTCATCCCTGTTTTCATAAAATACAAAATGAACGTGGCAATGACTGTGATACACAACGCGGTCTGTTTATGTTAAATTTATGGTTCAAACTTTACTCCAATGATCTATAATCTATATCTATCTATCTATAACTTTCTTAAAAGTATGAGTTGTTTCTTGAAACTTTTAAATTGCCAAGAATATCCTTATAAAAAGATAAGTGTTAAGGTTATTAATGTAATTTTCTTACTAATGTTAGGAGTTACAACTTTTAATCATTTATTCTTAATTATATTATTCTGAATTAATCTACATATGACGTTAGATTTCGATTTGGTTATTTTAAAGGCAGTTTTAAAATGTAAGAGAAAAAATTATTTTAAGAGTTCTTAAATAAATATTTGATATTTCATTAATGTAAAATATATAATGCACCACTAAAAGTATCATCTTTAATTTCTAAAAATTATATGGTTTACCATACAAATTTTTGGTTATAGTATTAAAAAAATTAAACAGGAACAATTTAATGAACATGCATATGTATAAGAATTATTGAATCAAATATAATTATTCATCAACATACAAAAGGAAGAATTGTTTCTTGAAACTTTTGAATTGCCAATAATATCCTCATTAAAAGATAAGTGTTAAGGTTATTAATGCAGTTTTCTTATTCATGTTAGGAAGTTACAACTTTTAATTATTATCTTTTATTTTTGATGCTTAATTTTAATTATTATTTAAAATTAATATATTTTTAATAAAAATTTATTCTTAATTATATTATTTTGAATTAATCTACATATGATGTTAGGTTTCGGTTTGGTTATTTTAAAGGCAGTTTTAAATTGTAAGAAAAAAATTGTTTTAAGATTTCTTAAATAAAATATATGATATTTTATAAGTGTAATGCACCACTAAAAGTATCATCTTTAATTTCTAAATATTATATTGTTTACCATACAAATTTTTGGTTATAGTATTAAAAAAATTAAATAGGAACAATTTAGTGAACATGCATATGTTTAAGAATGATAATCAAATATAATTATTCAACATACAAAATGTCAACTTTCTATAGAATTAAGTTATTTGTTAAGTAAAAAGATATGATCCTAACATAAATATTTGTTTAAATTATTCACTAAAACAATATGCATAACATGATTTACGTTTACCTCTTAATAGTATGTATAGTATAAATAATTTTTATAATAATGTGTTACATGAATTAAAATAGCATTTACTGAGTTGTAATATAAACAAAAATATATTAATTACAAAAAAAAATAAAATAACTAAAATTCGATTTTAAATCTTGAATTTTATAATATGTGTACTTATTAGAAAATAGTTACAATTAAAATTAATTAAATAAAAATAAATAGTGAATTTACATTAATGAATCATTCATAAATTAAATGTTTCAAATCACTTCTCAAAAGTAGGAAAAATAAACTCTATAAAATATTGACTAAGATATAAAAATAATGTTAAGAGAAAAATAAAATGAAAGAATCATGATCTTATAATTCATTAAAACTAGACTCATTAAATTTTCACATTTATGATAGTCTTGAAAATATGTGAACGAAGATAATGCATGTATGACAATTTTCGGAGAAACAATAATAATTTATGTTGGACAATATATGTATTATTCCTAAGCTTTTTCAGTTTTTTTCTTTTTTTTTTTGAAATAATTATGACTTTAAAGACATTTTCAAATATTTATGTGTCTCTTATGTCATTATGACTAGAGAAAAATGATATATATCTAGGTATTATGAAATGTTATACTTGCAAATATGACTAATTGCAACCACTATAATCAAAATAATTGAGAACGAATTATTCAAACATAATGTTTTAGCTTCCAATCTACAATAAAAAAAATGATCATTATAAATTATAGTTATAACAAATTCAAATTATTTTTCAAAGAGTATGATGCAAAAGGATGACATTAGAAAACCATATTTGATGACAATATTAATGATAATTATTATAGTGAAAAGTAGGGATGAAATGTTGACGAAGATATAAAAATAATGTTAAGATAAATATAAAATATGAAAGAATCATCATTACATAATTCATTTAAACTGGAATTAGTAAATATTCACATTTAGGATAGTCTTGAAAATTCAGGAATGAAGATAATGGATGTATGACAGTTTTAGGGCATGCAACAATAATTTATGTCGGAAAATATATATAGATAGATGGGTAGCTTTAATCAATAAAGATGTTATTACTCCTAAGCTTTTTCAAGTAAAATTTCTTTTTGAAATAAATAGTTAATTACGACTTTAATTAAAGACATCCTCCCTATATATAATTCTCGAATGCGCAGAGTCTACATGGCTGCTTCTGGTGCTTCGGAATCCTACTTGGCGAAGAATCACGCTTCGCAATTAGGTTTGAACAAATAATATTGATATATCAATAATTAATAATATAGGTTCGGACATTCCATAAATATTATTTAGCTAACTTAGGTATTTTAATATCACTTTTACTAATATAACCCTTTAATTCTTTGTAATTTTACATAATGAGACACTAAGTGACTATTATATCCCTGATTTTTTATTTGCTTACTTCAATTAGCTATTGAATTGCAAATGTATATTAAAAGTTGATAACTTTTGTATTTCTTATCGGTTTTACATATATGGTATATCAAATTAATCATCTTTTGATGATCTTCGATTTGACATCCACATTGCATATATGAAATAAATAAATTATATTTATCTTTATGATAAAATCTTATGTCATTATGACTAGGGAATAATTATATATATCTAAGTATTATGAAATATTATACTTGCAACCACAGTAATCAAAATAATTGAGAATGAATTATTTAGACATAGTTTGTTAGCTTCCAGTCGACAATAAATGAAAAATAGTTATAGCAAATTTGAGTTATTTTTCAAAGAGTACGTGTAAAAGGATGACATTAGAAAGCTATATTATGATGACAATAATAGTGATCATTATTTTAAACACAATTAATGAAGATGTCATTAAGTAACAAAATTAAAGACTATAAATTTCTTTAGCATTTACATTTTCACTAAAAAAAATATAATTTTATTTTTCGTTTTCAACCCAATATTTTTTTTAAAAAAAATTTATTCATCATAGAGATAATATTATTAAATACTATATTTCATTATTCAATAAAATACACTATTTTTTGTTAAACTAAATGAAAGAAAATTATATTATACTATTAAATATAAACCTAATACTAAAAATAATTTGAAAAAAAAAATACCACGTGCGTAGCACGTGCATCTTCCTAGTCTAGTAAAACAAACAAAAGAACAAAACAACTTCCACAATATTTAAGAATTTTATTCCCTACTTTCATAATACAAATTTGTATATTCTATCAAAGACAAAGTCCACCCCAGACAAACTCCATCCCAGATGACAAGTAATGGTATCACCTGAAAGAAACGGAATTGAAGAATAATATTTCATGTTGCTAATATTTCAGTTATCATCTGCGTTTTCATTATCTCTTACATATTCAATACTTTGGAGTCCAAGTCCATGAGCAGGGTCCATGATACAAATTACCAGAGTCATCCAGTTTATAAATTATGCATGACTGGATGGAAGGGCCATCATGTTTTGTACGCTAAACAGAAAATGATTAGAAGAGGGAGCAGCTACTTGACTTTCCAAGCAAAAGAATTTGCACCAACCTAGTAATACATAATATTAGACGTACCTGACGTTTTTCAACAAGCCCTAGAATTAACGCATTGTATGTTTGCACAGTGGGAATGCATCCACTTCTCCTCATCATATCAAAAATATCAAGAGCTCTTCTCATATCTCCAGCTCTAGCAAAATAAAGAATTATGGGCATAAATGTTCTCGAAGTTGGTCTATGCTTCCCCTTTTTCATTTCATCAATCATCCGAATAGCACGTTCGGTGTTACCCATGCCACAAAAGGCTCTAATGATGTTATTGTAAAGTATGACATCAGGCTTAAGACCATCTTTGATCACATCTTCAAATACAGAAAAGGCGTTCGCCCAATCTTTCAAATTGATAAAACCATTGATCAACATTGAGTAAGTCTTCAAGTTGTGCTTAACTCCTGCCTGTCTCATCATGTCACTTACTTCCAAAGCTTTGTACACTTTTCCAATCTGTAAAGAAAGCAATGCATAACTCTGAGCAAGCGAAAATATAACAGGACAGGTGATAACCTCGCCATACTGACTACGTTTACTAATTATCCGAAAAAGATGGCCAGCAGAGGATGATGCATGTAGAAAACAAGTTAACATATCTAATCCGCAGAGATAGTAGAGTGCCAATTAGTATCTACTCAAATACCTTACAAGAATATATCATGTATTTATAGAAGTATTGCATGAATTAACGCAAGATAATTGAGAAAAATCATTCAAAGGGAAATTGAATGAGGGCGTGCACGAGTTGGAGAGCTCAAAACAGTAAATAGGAATATTTCCTGCTCAATTACCTTAACACACGTTGTAAAAGCTACAGAGAGGAGTACACGTACATGTAATTTACATAAGATTGAAATTTTATCATTCAATAACAGCCTGCCTACCCCATCTCGTCTATATCCTACATTTTGTGGATGAACACTTAAGCATTAAAGTAACCATAAGAAGAAAAGACAGCTAACTTGCTCTCCAAGGCACTGGAAGAGAAATAGGAAAGAGGGTAAGTCAATTATGGAAGCTGCCAGTAATGTGGACGAAGTAAGATCCAAATGCTTAATATTGCATGTTTAACTCACTTCTAAAAATCTGTCAGCCAGAAACTTGCTCACTCCATTCCTATCCAGATTCCAGATAAATTCTATAAAACATAATGACCAAAAACAACCTTTTAACTGATGCTGAGAAAAGTACTCTTTCATAACCTAACCTCAATCTATCATAATGGAGTCTTTATTATAAAATAAATGTTCCTTGTACATTTTGGAGTTACACCACTGAAGTGCAATGATTCTTGAACTAATATCATTAGTACTCCCTACCATTTTTATCATGTAAATCTTGAACTAATATCATTAGTACTCCCTACCACTTTTATCATGTAAAACTGGGTTTTTCACAAAATGAGTAGATATACATGAAACTACAGATGAGGGATGAGAGGAAAAGACAGATTGTAACACGATATTGGGGAACAAGTTGCTGAATTGTGGAATATGAATCAGCTACCTTGGTGTAAAGATTGATGAGACATCCATAAGTAACCACCGAAGGTGCAAAGCCACATTCCTATAGCAAGAATAACTGTCAATATATAGTACTGATACACATGGAATTAAATAAAACAGCAAAAGCTCCATATTTTTTACTACACAGCTTCACAAACTTATATTCTTTCTCCAACCATTTATCCCACAAATATTCTCAAGATATAGCACTCCGTAGCATTACGGAGTGATGGAAATATATTGCATAAACGGCACCAAAGTATGCTTCTGCTTACTTGAGTATTTCAACAATTATTTAAAACTTCTCTCTAACAAATTACAATATATCTGCTAGTAGTGGGCCTCCAGGAAGAAATGAGAAAGTAAATAGTTAAATCCTAAAGCGTGATGGAAGTTCCATATTTTACAATGGAAGGTTTCCACTTCATGTATTTAAAAGTAGTCATAAAGGAAAGTGCATATATAAAACTAAGGGAAATCATATTAAAAATAAAACCCCTGACTTGAAACAAATTATTTACAAACAATTTGAACCGAACATTAATTTTCAATTGTGATTGGTGATTTTGGAAAATCCATTGACCTCTTCTAAAAGAAAGGAGGATACCTTTGAGAAAAAAAAAAATAATAAAAAAAAAAAAAAAAAAAAAAAAAAAAAAAAAAAAAAAAATTGTAGAAATTCCTTGACTATAAGCCATGGCATGCTCACTCAAAAATATTCCTAAGTTAATAATATTCCTTTGTATCCATAAAGCTTTCAAGTACAAGCATGTTTGCATTTCACAAATTCTTGATTTGAACGAAAGGCCATAATATAACCCCTGAAAAAATTCCATAAGCAATTACCTGAAGTCTATCAAAAACCATTAGACATTTCTCTTCATTTTGAACCATGGTATAACCATCCATCATGCTGTGGTAGATGTCAATTGGAGCATCAATACCAGCTTCTTCCATCTCTCTCACCAATGCTTCAGCACGGTTCATGTTGCTCACTTGACTGCAAACACAAAATTAAAACATATCTCATTGTAGAGGAGAAATGCAATTATAAAGGATAGAAATTTTTTCACAATAACTATGTAAAACTAATTTAAAAAAAAAAAAATGAACTTCAGGACAAACTCATCAAACAAAATAAACTTCTTGAATTCACATAATTCAATCACACAAACACATGTTTCTTTTATAAACAAAACGTTGTTTTCCAAGAAACCACTCCTTTAATCCTTTTATAGCACTATCTTTTACCTTCGGACACTAAAATTGACATGAGTAACTATTGAGATATAATTGGTAATTTCCTTATTCTCTCTTTCTTATAGTCAGTAGATTGTAATTAGGGATACTGATTTATTGTAATTTTATTTCAATCCCTTTAATCAAGGGATCTTGTCTGTACAACTTGTATATAAACATGCTTGCTGAGAGTCTTTTGTTAACTATATTATAGGCCTAGCCCATATATACTTAAGGCCCTAAGTCTATATATATGGGCATCCTCAGATGTGAATGATTCATTCGTCTAAAAACCCTAGGGTTTAACATGGTATCACAGCCTTACAAATAAATATTTTTTCGATCTCACCTCCCACACCAGTCGAATCGCTGCCTTGAGACAGACTTTCTGGCCAAGTTTCGCCGTCAAAAGCCGCGCATGTGGCCGTCGGAAATTTCTACTGTCATCTGATGAAGATCGTGTATCTCGATACAATTTTAATTCAAAGGATACGAAGACTGCCTCCCTCTCGGCGATAGGTTGCTTCAAAGGATGCTCGGACACCTCCTTCTCGGCGATAGGTGAGATAGCTCAGACGTGAATCCTTGCCAAACTCAAACTTATGACAAACTATGCGGTGAAATGCTCTTTTCGACACAAGAACTTTGTGATATAACTCAAGAATCTAACACGAGACTTTTGGCCAATGGTCGATTTTTCATTAATTCATTACTTCTATAAAATCGAATTGAGTACATATGTATTTAAATAAAACAAACACGAAGTCTATACTAGTCCTAATAGGAACCAAATACTAATCTAATGGAAACTAAACATCTAGCATTCTAAGACTTACCAAATAAAATTCCTAACAACTAAAAATCCTAAATAATTCTACTACCTAAATAAATATAATAACAATCACCTAACTAAACTAACAAAATACTAATCCTAACCATCTAACAATTCGCCTAACACTAACTCAAATAAATCAGGTCACCTAAATAACGTAATAACTCCTAACCTGCTAACTCACGCATAAACAAAATAAATCACCTAAACACCGATTAACTTACCTAACTAATTAAAATACTAACATCTATTATAAACCTTAACTTTATTAATAACTAACTAGCTAGACTAGTATTAATTAAATAATTAATCTATGACTAATATAATTAATCTAATAAATATCTTCGGCCAAGTCTTCTAGAAGCTTCTCCCGTCTTTCCTGTCAAGTCACGTCGCATGTGCCATTGAATCTCACATTGCTTGCTCACCGTGAGTGATCTTCGGACGTGCGCCCCATCTTCGCGTGCTCTGCGCGTACTTGCCTCGCATAACCTTTCTTCGCGTGTGTCCACGGCTCGCGACGCCTTCCGTGCCTCGTATTCGAACTTGTGCTCGTCTTTTCGGCCATGCGCGCATTCCTTCGCGCCATCGTGTGGCCCCGCGCGATCACATCCCCTCTCGACCCTTGGCGTCCATGGGCGTCGGAACCTCCTTTATCATCACTATCCCACGCGCCGTGTGCGTGGCTTGCCGAAAATTTTTCTTGCGAACATGCGTGGGTTCAGAATTTTGTTATGCCAATGTTTTTAGTTTGTGTTTTGGAAGGTTTTGGTGTCTGTTTTACCCTTTTTCAAATCCATCACTTGTTGGGGATAGAGTTCGTGTACTCTAATCTGTCCCGGTCGTCGTCAATTTCTGTTTTTTGTCGTCACTTGCCTGTCGTGTGCCCCTAAGCTGCCCGTCGCAGCACCTTTATTCATACTTCGTCGCTGCTCGTCGCGACCTGTTTGTTAAATCATGTCGCGAATTCATGCAATTGCTATCAGTATTACTCACGGAAGTGGGCTTTTTCGGTTGAAGCTATGTTGAGGGGATATGGTTTGGCTTTCCACTTGACTGATGATGGACCCGAAAGGAAGGCTGATAATAGCAATGTTGCGATATCGGAGATTAATGATGGGAAAGTGATGGTTGCCATCCTCGAGCCTTTCTTCTTTTCGGACTGCCAAACGAATGTGGTCCTATTCGCAACAGCGCTATGTTCAGATGAGTAGTGCTCTTGCACACCTTTATGCAACAAATTCACATGATTGAATAGAACACCATGTCCATCGATGAGTACTACCTTCGTTTTTGAGGAGTTAAAAAATACTACGATGGCCCCGTTGTTTTCTATTTGAAAACAGATTTTTTTTTTTTTATGCAGCAATCTCGAATTTTTTTTTTTGATTCAAAAAAGGAAAATTCTTGTTTTTTGGCGTTCTTCTTTTTATACCAAAAATATGGTTAAGAACCTATAAGTATGAAAACAAAAAAGTTCGTACCGCTAATGATATTTTTTTTATTTGAAAGAAAAAATAAAACTATGCCTTCTCCATATCAATAGTAAGTAATAGTAGCATGCACTTCGAATTCAATATGAAATTGTGTATTTTTTTTTTCAAAAGATTTGATTAAGTATTGAGAGAGTAGTATGAGATAAAAGGTATTTCCGTTTTCCTCTTATCTATCGGATTGTTGAGAAGTTCTTTATTTATCGCTTTGTCATGGGAGTCAGAGTAGAATTTGAGTCCATTCGTACACGGTAGCTTCATGACTCGTCTACTCTAATCGTGAGTGATTGCTGAAGAGGCTCGTCTCCATTCTCTTTAAGTTGATCCGCCGTCAGTATCGCAGAGTGTTCTGGCAGCTCCTCAAACGATATCTTCTCAATGACTTAATGCATCTAGAGGTGGCTCTCCAGAAACTTGTAAGCATTGCGGGAAGACCGATCATAGTGCCGAGAATTGTTTTACTCAGCATCGCATCCAGAAAAGTTGGCATAGTATCGTGCACGCCGTGCTGCTCGGGCTAGTGGTACGACTTCTACTAAAGGGTTCGTTTCTGCAGCTGCTGCCACTCCTGCTCATGCTCCTCAGTCTTGGGTCCTCGATTTTGGAGCATCGTTTCATGTGACATCTGATCACTTCCACTTGGTTGCCCGATGGTGCTTTTATTCAAACAGCTCATGGAACTTCTTGTCATATCACTCATGAGGGTTCACTATGCAATTCACGTTTTCAGTGCCTATTATCTCTTATGTTCCTAAGTTGTTCATGAATCTTCTTTCAATTTTTGTCTAAGATCAAAATCGAGAATTTTGCAATCAAAATATTTTCTATCGCTAGAAGGGTTTCACCCCCCAGCTTCCCAGCTCCTAACGATTTACTGAACAACAAGGGAACTCCCCGGTAAGAGAAGCAAATGAATGAAAGGCTTTCATAAAAATTATTGTAGAATCGAGAATGAAGTTTTCATCTTGTCCATGCCAGATCATGAATTAGTAACTGCATCCAATTTCCAAAAAAAGGTCAGTGTTGTTGGATTTGATGACTTATTCTGTTTTATTCAAGATTATCGAAGCGGGACTGCGATCCAGAATGTCCATCGCCGTAGAGGTTCTCCGAGTCTCTACATTTTAGACACTTTGCATCTTCCTTCTTCCATTGGTTCTACCACTCGTGTGTCATCCGTTGCCTCGTCTTCCACCTCATCTTTCGCGAAGTGGCATCATCGTCTTGGTCATTTGAGTGGGTCTCGTTTTTCCACTTTGATTAGTACTGGTTGTTTAACTCGTACATCTATCGAGTATAGTTTTCAGGGTTGCAAGCTTTGAAACCAGCTGCAACACTCATATACTACTAGTATTTCTCATTCTGCTACAAGCCTACACCTTTTGATCTTATTCACCTGTCCTCTTTTCCTACAAAACATGGCAAAAAATATTATGTTCTTTATTGATGATCATTCTCGATATACTTGGATTTATTTTATGAAACTTCGTTCTTAGTTGTGTTCCAGTTATAAAGATTTTGCTCGCATGGTTCATACTCAGTTTTCTGCTCCTATTCGAGTTTTTCATTGTGGTGAGTATTTATCTGACAATTTTTGTCAGTTTTTTACCTCTGAGGGCACTCTTGCCCATGTCCTCGTGCACATGCCATGCAGAAAGAAAGCACCATCATCTCATTGAGACTGCTAGAACTCTTCTGATTACCTCATTTGCTTATTCTCATTTTTGGGGAGAAGCCGTGTCTATAGCTGTTTATCTTATCAACCGACAGTCATCTTCCAAAATGTCTGCTAAGTGTCGAGGTGAGGTTCATTTTGGTATTCCCCCTAGCTATGATCACCTTCGGGTTTTTCGATGTACATGTTATGTACTTATGTACTGCTTGCTCCTCGTGAGCGCACTAAACTGAATGCTCAGTCGGTTAAGCGTCTTTTGGGGTATAGTTCTGAGCATAAGGGTTATCATTGTTATGAATCTTCTGCTCGTTGCATGCGTATATCTCGTGATGTAGCTTTTGTCAAGGATCGTCCTTCTTTTATAACCCTTTCACTCATCCCACATCTTCTTTTAGAGTCTACGTCATTCTTATGTCTTCCTCCTACTCTTGATAATGATGTCCCCGTCTCTTCTCCATCTTCCACTCATGATGAACTTGCACCACCTATTTCTGATGAGCTTCCACCACATAAAAAACCCATCACACGAGTCTATACTCGTCGTTCCAAACGTCACACAACGCTTCCGCCCCATTCTACTATGGCCAGTCTTGATGCTCCCGTTAAACATCACGCAGCGTTGGACATTTCATCAAAGCAGCGTTATTTGTGATACTCGTCATTCCAAAGGTCACACAACTCTTATTTGTGATAATCAAGCGGCGTTAAACATTCACTCAAATCCAGTGTTCCATAAAAGCACGAAGCATATCGAAGTTGGTTGTCATTTCATCCGTGACAAGAGAAGATTCTTTCTGGTGGATTATTACATCGTTTGTAAATTCTAATGATCACTTGGCTAATGTTTTAACCAAGTCCTTTAGAGGTCCACGAATATCTTACATGTGTAAAAGTTGGATGCTTGTGACATTTATGCACCAGCATGAGCTGAGGGGGAGTGTTAAAATACAATAAGGTTATTTCCTTAATCTCTCTTTTTATTAGGGATAATAATTTATTGCAATTTTATTTCAATCCCTTTAATCAAGGGATCTTGTATGTACAACTTGTTCGATATAAACATTCTTGTTGAGTCTTCCTCAAGCAATTCATTGTACAAACTACTCTCCTATCAATATCTAATTCCTCTTTTCAAAAGTAGCGACTATTGGTTCTTCCACAAATCTAAAAAGCCAGCCCCTCCCCGTAAAAGCTTCTTCCGATCAAGCTTAAAATTGATTAAAAGAAAATAAATAGAAACTCTAGAGTTCTGTAAGTCGAGAAAAACTAATATAAATATCATTTTTGTTTATACAAAGGGATAAAAGTTCAACAAATCTGTAGACCATCACCTTTAAACCCCCAGTCCCCACCCCTTTCGTGCACACGTGGTCAACATATAACGTGCAAACAACGAAATTCAAAGGCGTCGAAAGATAATTTATTGCACAGTCTGATGGACATGCTCGACATGAAATAAAACCAGTAAAATGGCATACGAAAAAATAGAAAACTGATTCTCAGTGTACATAATGATGTTTTATGCAGTCACGTGAGGTGGAGTATGGTGAAATTACACATTTTAGCTCAAATATTATATTTGAGAGGACACCACACCATTCTAGTGTATGTAAGGGATTATGTACACCAAATCATGTACAAGTAAAGTTGTCAAAAATAAAAATACAGTACTTGCGTGAAAATAAAAATCAACTCACCAATATGCATAGATGATGCTCCCATATATGATTCCATTTAAATCTTGAAGTCTTTCTTTGGCTTCCGTAAACCAATACTCGGCAGCTCTTTTACAAGTATCAGAATGAGATATTAGAGGAAGAAAGCCATTGGTGGAAAATTTAAAGCATTCAGATACACAAGGACAGTTCAATAATCATTATTAAAATCTAAAAAATAATGAATTAGATCAGATAAGGAGCACCTCTACGTAATAAAGGTTTAAACTCAAATCATGATGTAGAAGTAACAAAGAAAGAGAAGAAAAAGTTCAACACTGCAGTAAGCTCATTCAATCTGCGATGTTTCACTATTCAGAGTTTCAGTTGATAACCACATCCCTATGTTTTACAGTTCAAAAACGATCAAGTAAAAAGGTTGTGAATCAATTGGCATTTTGTTACGCATATCAACTTGGTCCGACAAGTAAAGTTTCCTTGATCTGTACCCTGGAAGCTCACGTTACTCTAAAATGTACCTAAACTTCAGCATTTTATTTCATAAGTTCCATTAATTTCCTTCTCCCACAATAATGTATTCTGAAGTATACAAAGGATAGAAACACAACCATAATTCGAGAGAGCATTAAAATAAAGTCTTAATAATGTAGACAATCAGATACCTCAACACAAGTTAAAGCTACACTTGGTAAAAAAATAGAGTGAGAAAGAGAATAAGTTATCAGAACAGATACTTGCATGTTGCTTGAAAACAAATGGAACTAAAGTCACCAAAAATAGTTAAAAAGTGCATGCCAAATAGTCTGAGATTACTTACTCAGCGTTCCCAGTTTTTGCAAATCCCCCAACAAGAATGTTGTATGTGACTAAACTCATTTCTATTCCATCATCTCTCATCTTCCTTACACATGACAGTGCATCTTCCATGTCTCTTGCCACTGTATAAGCATGAATGAGGCTGCACGATGAATATATTCATAAGTATACAGTGCAACTTGAACATTAACGCAAATGTCTGAGTATGAAAAGATACACTGAGATTTGATAATCAACAAATGCGTGGAGAATTCCAATTAGAGTAGTTCATAAGCACAAAAACATATATATTGTTGGAATACCACGTGTGAGTTGTCCCACATTAAATAGGGAAAACGGGTCTAGCTTATAAGCTAGTAAGCTACTCCTCATATCACCAATTAGTTTTGGGATGAAATCTCACTTAGGTGGCACCAAGGCTCACCCTCTAATGGTGTGTTTCAAGTCTATGGGACCACAACCCTTCTCTCACACATATAAATCCAACATAAATAATATAAAAATTCTATTTGATGGTATAATACATTGATAAACTTCACTAACTGTAGTTTTACGTTCCAGGAATACCATTGCACTCAAAGTGAATTATAAAAGAAGACAAAATAATTTTATTAATTACTTTGTATATACATGTAATGTTGGTTCTATTCCCCGAGCCCGCATCTTCTCAAATGTTTCACGTGCACGATGTACGTCTCCTCTCCTTCCATAATAGTTCACCATCAAGCCAAACTCTCTTCTGGAAGGCTACAAAAAGAACAGAATTGCTAATTGCTAATAACTGAATGGAGAACAACAGAGAAGAACACCCAGTTTTTATTTTGACAACAGCTTCCACTTGTATATTACTAGGATTTGGAGCTAAACATGGAAATATGCTAACAAATGTATACATAGTGCATATGAAGCTAGATCACTCTCTACATAGTTCATTAATTGCTGATCAAGGAAAAATATATCACATTGCTTCTTGCACAAATTTTGGCTTGATAAATTCAGAAAGCATTGGACATGGTACCATAGGACACTGGCATACAAAGAAACTAAATTACACATATCTGAAAACTAAATATACATATAAGGGACATGATCAATATATACAAAAAAAAAATGCACATCAATATATATTAAATTAACATTATATAGGATAAATTAATATCAATACATATGTAACAGCAGTTAAAACTACGAAAAATAAGTCAATGCATGATAAATAAGTTAACATCCCAACTGAAGTATATCGTACAGCAACTAAAACTACATTACTTGTGAATGATGGTCTATATTGCAAGGTGGATTTGGCTCTGTGATACAATTTACAGGATAAAGTGTTCTAGGATAAAGGCAGCTCAGCATACTTATATTTAGACAAGGGCTTTGTACAGTATGTAAGTTCCAATCTCTTGTGCACATAAGAGGAGTGTATGGCTTTACTTCCCTTGGACGCGTGCTCATTCATTATTCTAAAGTGTAACTAATGCAGCATGAATGTGCTCGACTTGGCATTTATCAACTTGAAAAACAAACTTAGGTCCTATGTGTTGTAATGATGCAGCATTTGAGTTCACCCACATTTAGAAAATGCACTAATGTTATACGGCAGCAGCTCTATATGTTCACTCACTCACTTATACGCACATATTAGCACCATACACCAAACCTTGTTAATCCTTTCAAAAGCTCGTACGACCGCCTGCCAATTCTGCGGTTGAGATTCCAGAATCTTTCTGAACTCATTCCGTGAACCTTCCCTTTCTTCATGCCAATTAGACCTGTAATCTCCTCTCTCCTCATCTTTACCCTCCAACCACCTTGCCCTCTCACCGTGTCTTCCCTTCAATCTATTGCCGTTATCCAACTTCACAGTTAAAGGTCTCCCATGAAATTCCACTCCATCAAACTCAACTGCTTTCATAGCAGACACCTCAGCAGTATTCCCATTGTATATCACAAACCCAAATCCCATATTCCTCTGGACATCATCATGGCCCTTAATCAGAACCACGCTCTTTATTGGCCCAAACTGCCTGAAAAATTCGACCACCTCAGGCTTCTTAATCCACAGTGGTAAATTACCCACAAATATCTTGCCTTTCTCCCTGAACTCCACTTCTTTTTCATTTTCATCCGATTCCTCCGAGATCTCATCTTCCACATCATTTTTCTGGTGAAACTTTTCCAATAGAGTACCCGGTGGAATTGGGGGCGGAGGCGTGAGTTTGCAGGACAGCCATAGCTTATTACTCAGAGTATCATGGGATGATGAACTGGTGACAGGGAGGCTATTTTTGGAATCAACGAGTTTCTTGAGGGGATTGTCTGAGAGTTTAGAGGAGCGGGAAGAAGGGGTTTTTAGAGACTTGTGAGTGGTTGGGCGGCGGAGGCCGCCGGTGGAGCTGGTGGGTTTCTGAACAAAATCATTTGACGAGTCCGAGGCGAGAATGATGGAATTTACGGACGTGCGGCTGATGCCGTAATTTTGTTTCCCGGTGAGGTTGAAGGTTGTCCGAGCGTGAGGATAGTGAACGGGGGAGACAGACATATCCATTCTCTGAGATGGTTATCGTGTTCCCGCAAGATGACATTGAGAATTGCACATAGTCCCATATGCTTTGTGGGATTGTAATATTAGTGTGGCATTCAATATAACTTGCATACAAGAAATTACACTTTTAATCAATCTATTATTAATTAATATATAATAAAATAATATCAATCTATTATTAATTATTAATAATGATTAACATAATTCACTTTAGAAACACTTTCTCGCTAATTTCATTAATTACCTTCTATATAGAAAAATAGTACACAAGTAAATCATTAATTACTGGAGATAATCGCCGTTAAAAGATAAAATTGTAATTGCTGGAGATAATCTATCAGTTAAAATAGGAAATGGATTTGTAATTTATTTTGTCAAATTAAATTTTTGAGTTGATCCTTCTATAACACGTTTGTGCGGACGGAATGCGTAGATACTACCTCAAATGATATAGATGAATGATCTTTTTATCTAATAATACTTCATCAACACAAATATTAACCAATAAAATAATAATTGGCCACATATTATTACCTAGGTATATACAACGATGTAGTGGATTGAGACAGCCATATATCGAGTATCTGATAAAAGGAACCTTACCGGATGATAGATACGAAGCGAATAAGCTAAAGAAGATGGCCATATCAAATGAATTAAATCATACAGTATTTAAGTTCACTTTAATGTATAAATTATTAGAATAATAAAAAATAAAAATTTTATACATAACATATATGATTTTTATTATTTTTTTCCTAATTACGATGTAAAAATACTTTTTAATTAAAATAACAGGCTTCATAATCTACTAGTGCGGTACTCGTGCGATGCACGGGGTAGTTTTACTAAGCTAAACATTTAGTTTGGATGATTGGAAGAAACGTATAACGCATATTGAAATAAAATAAATGTAACTTATACATTATTAAACACATCATTGTACACATTATTTGTTTGATCTTTTGGTACATCGTCTGTGGATTGCATAGTCAAATATAAAATAGATTGTAAAACGTCTTTTTTGATAATATATTGTCTTATTATTTTAAAATTGTAAATTACTTAATTTAAAGAAGGAAAAATTTGTGTAAGTGTATGCAATCAATTTCAAATTTGTATTCTAAATGATTAAACAAAACTCAAACTTTTAGGATGTTCCAGTCCGATTTTATTTTGAATTTCAAATTAATATTATTTGTCACTGCTTTATCTCTAAAAAAAATCCGAACTAAAGAAAGTAGTAGCCAAATGATAAGAATTTTAATTTTCAATTTGAAATTGGGTCCGATTTCTATATAATTCTTTTATTTTTTAATAAACATGATATGTTGCAATTAGGTAAATATACATGTTATAATATTTTGCCTAATTCGAAATTTTCGATTTTATGGTAAACAAATTTTTTAATAAGAAATGAGAGAATTTTGACTATTACAAAATTGTCATGTCGAATTATATCTCAGTTAACCTGATTTCTATTCAAGTCATTTTTTTTATATATATAAACAATTGATCATTTGCAATTAGGAAAAAAATATATATAATAGTGTTTTGCCTAATTCGAAATTTTCAATTTTATGGTAATAGTTTTTTTAACAAAAAATGAGAAAGAATTTTGACATTTACAAAATTGTAAGCATCAGTTAAAATTTACCTAATTAAATTTACAAAACCCATGAATTTAGGATGCATATATAGCAAATTGATTTTTTAATAATAATTTAAAAGGAAAATTAAAAAAAAAAACTGCCAAAAATAAAATAAAATAAATGTTGATTGACTTTTTTGTTATTATTTGTAATTAA